CGAAAAAACACCAAAAATTAAGTTTTCGGTTCACTTCATCCCAAATTTTTTATCTGATCATCACAGAAAATTATAGGCGTTGTCCTTGACCATAACTGGATCCTCATGAAAAATATCAAAGCTATCAGAGCTATATATAAGCCCTCTAGTGTTGTTATGGTTTACTAAATAATATCTCAGTACGTAAGTACCTGTAAATATTTACGTGTAACTCCCACATCCGAGTACATACGACAACATAATTGGTATTAATTTAAAGGTCAACCACCACTATCAACTTGTCGGGTCTATGTCCTTCAGGACTAAATATATATGCCATAGAATACAATTTTTTCATTTTTCACACAAAAGTCAGGGCCCATTTGACCCACTAAATATTGACCGATGGATGGAAACAGGCATGCTCATTCTTTGGCCCAATACCCTTCTATACACTATCAACTTATCGGGTTTATGTCCTTCAGGAGTAAATATATATGCCATCGAATAAAAATGTTGTAATTTTTCACACAAAAGTCAGAGTCCAATATTGACCGATCTTTGAGGAAACAGGCATGTTTGGGCCATAACTGTGGCCACTGGAGCGACCAGAAAATCAGACATAAATAAAGTTTTTGGTCCATTTCATCCCCTAAATATTAGCCTATCTTTATCAAAAACAATAGGGGTCTTCATTGGCCAGAACCCATCCTACATGCAAAATTTCGTGAAGATTGGTCCATTACTGTGGCCTGTGTCGTGTTTACAAATTATAATGGACAGACGGATGGACGGACACACATGTCTAGATCGACTTAGCTAGTTGAGATATGACGATCGGTATACTTAAAGGCGGGCATAGGACCAATATTTCGTGGCGTTACAAACTCTTGGGGCTGCACAATGCAATAATACCCTGACAACATAGTTGTGTAGGGTATAAAAAGTTGTCAAGGACCTTAGCGATGCGCAGATTTTTTAAAATATTTATTTTCCAGCCCCTAATATAACCGTAGATTTTTTTTTAATTTTATTTCAAGGACCTAACATAAACGTAGAGTTCTTAAAATTATTTTTATAAAGAACTTGAATTAAACGTAGATTTTTTAAAACTTTTTTTCCAAAGTTCTTTCTTCCGACATAGCAACCCTTCCTTCCCACTCCCCAAAACAAATTACCAAACAAATAAAGTTATTCCTATTGAAAAGTCCTTCATAACAACAATACACTTCGAATTCTAATGATGCATAGCACAAAACAAACCTCGGCAAGTGGTTCCTGAAAATTTAGTTTTCGTTTCATTTATTTTTATGTTCATTCTCCCCTGCCACATCACCATGATTTCATGATGACCTTTTTTTTTGTTCGAAGATAGGGATAATTTGTTGATTTTTAAATAAGAGCGAAAACAAAAATTGAATTATAATTCACCAAAAGGGTCATTTAATTGAGGAATTTTTAAATATTTTTTTCTTCTTCTTCTTGTGCTGAAAAGCACCATTGGAAAATGAGGATTTTTTCCAATTATTTCCCTAAGGGACAAAAAAAGGATAATAGAGGACAAATGTACAACGGACACCTGTAGCAACTGGCATCGATGGAATTTAAATAACTTTTTAATATTATTAAATAACTTCCGATAAATAACTTCTGAAATATATCTGAAAAAATATTTTTAAATAATCCACGCTTTTTTGGTATCCCTAAAAATATTTTTAAATAATCCACGCCTTTTTGTTATTCCTTCATCTTTGGTGGAGACTTAAAAAATATTTTTACAAAATCCAAATCAAAACCAATAAGGAAAGCAGAAATGTCGGACTGGGTCGACTATATGATACCCTTCACCACTTTGGGTATATTGTACATATGTATCCCCTCCAAAGAACATACGCAAGACTTTCTGCAAACTATGATAATTTTAATTTCATTCGTGCAGATTTAAAGTCGACTTCGTTCCATGGGACAAATTTATGAAAAACGACTTAAAACAAAATTAATACACGTTATTCGGTCGCGCACTGTACAAATTTTAATTTCATTCAGACATCCCTTCGAAATACATACGGAAGCTATGACAGCATCTACAACAATTTCAACAAAACGCAATAACGTTATTCAAGTCTCAACTTGATACGTTGTGCAAAAAATCGTGTTAATCGGTCAAACATTAGAAGATTGGTGCACCATTTATGTAAAATCGGACGAATATATATGTATATGTGGGAGCTATATCGAAACCAAAATCGATTTTTCCGAAACTTAGCACACATCATTCTAGACTTAATTCAGTACGCTGTGCCAAATATCAATCAAATCGAAAGTTATATAGGAACTTTGGTGCACCATTTACATAGAATCGGAAAAAAGCTATATATGGAAGCTATATCTAAATCTGAACCGATTTCCACGAAACTTAGCACACATCATTCTGGACCTAATTCAGTACTCTATGCCAAATTTCGTGCAAATCGAATGATATATAGGGAATTTGGTGCACCATTTACCTTAAATCGGACGAAACTCTATATGGGAGCTATATCTAAATCTGAACCGATATTCTCGAAACATGGCACACATCATTCTGCACCTAATTCAGTACTCTGTGCCAAATTTCATGCAAATCGAAAGATATAGAGGGACTTTGGTGCCCCGTTTACCTTAAATCGGACGAAAATATATATGGGAGCTATATCTAAATCTGAACCGATTTTTCCCAATTTCAATAGGGTTCGTCCTTGGGCCAAATGAGTGACTTGTGCCAAATTTCATCCAAATCGGATTACAAATGCGACCTGTACTTTGTTTACAATTTAACATCTACAGACGGACAGACGGACGGACATGCATAAATCGACTCAGAAAGTGATTCTATGCATATTCTCAAAAGGAACCATGTGTCTATCTCGTTTCATTTGCCTGTTACAAGCATATGCACAAAGACTTAATACCCTGTACCACAGTGTGGTGAAGGGTATAAATATATATTTAAAAAACCCTTACATGTTAGTTAGTCATTAAAATATATTTTTAAAAATTTCTCGGCAATTTATAGTCCTTGAAAAAAAAATATAAAAAACTCACCTGTTAATAGTACCTCGCCTTTTCAGAGCCTTAAAAAAATATTTACAAAAAAAATCCAAGCGTTTGGAATATGCCTCTAACTTCCTTCGATTTTGGTTTTCTTACTCAATATATACACACATTTGAAAAACAACCATATTAAGTCATTGAAAAGGATAATATTGTTTTTAATGTGATTTAGAAACCTCTCCACAAACCACTTGACCAGATAAGCAGTATTTCAATTCTCCTTCCTGCGTACAAGTTCCCAAGAAAAACAAAATTGTTTTTTTGTGTGGAAATTTCCCACAATTACTATTAAATATTTGATCCTCCCAAAAGTATGCTTCGATTCAAACGAAAAACAATTATCTAGCAAAAACATAAATCTCTCTCTCTCTCTCCCAGAACAACAACGACTATAACAACAATATCCCATTGGACATACAAGATTTTAGCAAAATATTGAACAACAACAAAAACAAGCAGAGGAAATTAGTTTTAACTACATTAGGCCTTTGTTATGTATTATTGGTTGGATAAACTAATGCATACCTTAAGGGATTGTTTTCAATTTTTTTTTGTTTTTTTCGTTGTCTGACCATACCTGGATCCTCATGAAAAATATCAAAGCTATCAGAGCTATATATAGGCCCTCTAGTGTTGTTATGGTTTACTAAATAATATCTCAGTACGTAAGTACCTGTAAATATTTACGTGTAACTCCCACATCCGAGTACATACGACAATAGGTATCAATTTAAAGGTCAACCACTCCTCTTGGATACACTATCAACTTCTCGGATCTATGTCCTTCAGGACTAAATATTTTTGGCATAGAATACACATTTTGTAATTTTTCACACAAAATTCAGGGTCCATTTGACCCACTAAATATTGACCGATCTTTGTGGAAACAGGCATGCTCATTCTTTGGCCCAATCCCCTTCTCCATGCAAAAATTCGGGATATTTGGTCCATTTGTTATGTATTATTGGTTGGATAAACTAAACATACCTTAAGGGATTGTTTTCAATTTTTTTTTGTTTTTTTTTTTTTTTGTAAATCGACAACAACAACAAATCCATAAAACTGATTAATTGCAATTTAATTGATGATGTTTTGTTGTTGTTTTGATAAACTACAAAAGATTTAGTTTACATCCATATAAACAACATTATACTTAATTGTAAACACCCCAAGGTATGCCATGAATAAAATCTCTATTAAAAATTTATCATCATCAAATCTAACTGTACTATTTATGGTCGTTTCAAAAATGCCATACAATAAATCACTCTGTTTGAGTATTTAAAAATTCATTTGTAGCTCAACTTTGCAAAAGAGAAAAATAAAAAAATAATTTTCCAAAAAAATTGTTAAAGCCTATCCTTAGGCTGTGTACGTAGCAAAAAACAATTATTTTATCGTTTAATAAATATCAAATGACTCTTCTCAGAATTTAAGTAATATATATTATTTAAAAAACAATTACAAGTTTGAATATTTAAACAGTTCCAACAAAAAAAAAAAAAAAAAAAAAAAACAACAACAACTTTTTGTTGAAAACAAATAGTAAATCATACTTTAAGGCCACTGGTGTATAGGGTATAAATGGTGGCTGGGTGGTAATTACCCATTTAAAAAATTCATAACTGTCTGTCTGGCTGGCTGGCTGGAGAACAGTTTATCGAAAACACGTGTATTGTGTGTTCGAAGTGAAGCCCCCAGGGCGGGACAGGAGGCTCTGATTTAAGATTTCCCTTAAATAAGGCTGTTTGATATTTAACTTTTCTTTTCCTTGCCTTTTTTGTTTTTTGGAAACCCCTCAACCTTGACATGGTTTTCTTTATATAAATATGCCAACCAACATTATAAATCACTTTGGGTTTAACATTTCAATACTTCTTACCCTCTAACTTCTCCCTCTCACGTCTTTTGTTTTCTTTCCATTTCAGACGTGAAGTTCAAGAGCTACGCAATGGCCATTTACTGGGCACCACCATTATCGGTGCCAACGGCGGCCACAAAGAACGCCTCACCATCGAATGGCTGCAACAGTCTGTCGGCGAGCTGAGAAAACAACTTGTAGAATTGCAATCCCTGGCCAGCAATGCGATGCGAGATGTAAACACACGCACCCAAAGCTGGGAGGATTTAACCACAATTCGTAGTGATTTCCAACAACTTAAGCTGGAATTAGCCGCACTCAAAGAACGCCAACAACAGACCGATGTCTATGTACAGGAGCTGCGTGAAGAGACCGAACAGCAGGAAGAGGATTACAAACGTCTGGTCATGCATTTGAACCAAAAACAAACGTCTGTGGCCAAGGATAATGCCGATGATGACAGCACAAATGCAGAACAACAACAACAAAGTTTAGAGGTAAGTGTGGCACAAAGAGAGAAAAATAAAGTTGATTAAAATTAGATTTTCTTTTACAAAGGTGACAATTTAAATGGAGGGGGGTTTTTTAATAGCAGATATTTTTTTGCAATAAAGAAAATGTTCGAAAACATTTAAGGGAAAAGAAAAAAAATAAATATAGAAATCCTAAAAGTATGCAGTAACATTCAAAGGAAAATGTAAATAACATAAACTCCTAAATGTATGCCTTGAATAGGTAAAAAATAACTTTTAGATAATCTAGATGTTTACAAGGTCTACATTTAGGCGTGGATTTTTAAAAATATTTTTTCAAGGGTTAGACGAAGATTTTTAAAAAATATTTTTGAACGTTTATACACAGTCGTAGATTTTAAATTTTTTCTCATGGATTATACACAGGCGTGGATTTTTTAAAGATATTTTTTCAAGGGTTATACAAAGGCGTGGATTTTTTAAAAATATTTTTTCAAGGGCTATACAAAGGCGTGGATTTTTTTAAAGATATTTTTTCAAGGGTTATACAAAGGCGTGGATTTTTTAAAGATATTTTTAAGGGTTATACAAAGGCTTGGATTTTTTAAAGATATTTTTTCAAGGGTTATACAAAGGCGTGGATTTTTTAAAGATATTTTTTCAAGGGTTATACAAAGGCGTGGATTTTTTTAAAGATATTTTTTCAAGGATTATACAAAGGCGTGGATTTTTTAAAAAATATTTTTTAAGGGTTATACAAAGGCGTGGATTTTTTAAAAAATATTTTTTAAGGGTTATACAAAGGCGTGGATTTTTTAAAAAATATTTTTTAAGGGTTATACAAAGGCGTGGAATTAAAAAATGTAAGTTTTTCGATTAGGCATATATTTCTTAAATATATTTTTTAATGTCTAAATTTGGCGTGGATTTAAAAAATTTAAGTTTTTCGATTAGGTATAGATTTCTTAAAAATATGTTTAAAGTCTACATTTAGGCGTACATTTCTTAAAAATATTTTATAAGGTATACATTTAGGCGTAGATTTGTTAAAAATATTTTTTTAAGGGTTATACATAAGCATGGATTTAGAAAAAATGTTTTTCGATTAGGCATAGATTTCTTAAAACTGTGTAAAAACAGTCTACATTTAGGCGTAGATTTCTTAAAAATATTTTATAAGTTGTACTTTTAGAGATTTTTTAAAAATGTATATTTTTGTTTTTTTAAACATTTTAAACATTTTTGTTGATTTAAACATTTCCTCTTCTTTAAACGCATTTGATATTTTTCATCTTTAAGATTGTATTATTCTTAAAACATTGCCTCATTATTTAATACCCCACATCCACAGCAATATCTCAACCATGACAATATTTCATTTAAATACAAATTAATATCAGCTTTCCGTTTTTGAAATTGAAATTAATCTCAATTTGTCACTGACAACAAACGGTACGCATTGCAAAAGCCATGCCAATAAATAAACAGGAAATTATTATTATTATTTACAAAGGAGATTATAATGGTAAAGCAGAGCCTAAATGTAGGCATTATTATTTGTTGAAATGTGTAACATTGTGGACATTTTAATATTCGGTAACAGCTGACTGGCAATTCAATTTGTGATTGTGTTTTAGAGAGCTTTTAATTTAAATTTTTCTTTTTGAAATTTCCATTGAAATTTGTTGGATGTAAGCTCCTAAAAGTATACCTTCTTAATTTTCAAATACCCATATAATACGAATCGAAATATATTTGCAACCCAATGGGTGAGATGCTTTTTCTCTTCAAATGTCTGAGTGTGTGTTTATTATATTGTTGTTACAAAGAAAATCTAATATTTTTCAATTTGTAAAACAATTTTTTTGAAAACAAAATATTATTTCGAAAGAAAAAAATCTCAACACACACACCGAAAAATCCAATTCATACTTATATTCACTTTAATTGATATGCAAAAAGATATTTTCTTTTTCTCTTCTGTTACTTTTCAATACCATAAAATAGGATATTTATTTGCCTAGAAATATACACCAGACTTACTAGCTCCCAAACACCTTAAAGTATGCTACTGTATTGAAAATAATGTAGTACAACAAAAAGAATCGCCATGTACAACACACAGCAGTCAGAGTCCATAAACAACATGTCAATGACAACAAGTTTATTGAAACATTTGGATTCGATGTGTCTCTGTGTGCGTGTGTGTGTTTAGAATATGCATATATGTGTGTGTGATGGTAAGCCAGTTGTAAAATCGTAAAGTGTATATGTTTTCTTTATTGTATAACAACAGGGGCTTACATAAAATATTTATAGAAAACATAGTACCCCCATACCACATCGATGAGCAGCATATTTGATGTTCAAAATGTTTACGAATTTTTGCAAATATTTTTTAGTTAAAAGCTACACCCAAATCGAACGAGGGAATATATTTGTTATAGGAAATCCAGAGATATAGGGGTATTTGAAAGGATGAAAAGGATTAAGGGGATCAGGAGATTCTATAGATCGAACAAGAATTTAAAAATGTCACTGCTTAAGAGGAAACATACACAACTCCCAAAAGTATACCTTACTTTTTATTTTATATTTTTTGTGATCCTAAAAATATTCTTCACTTTTTTTTGAAATGATATCCTCATCTCACAACCCTTTCATCTCTAATCCGGTTTTTATGTTTATTTCGCCACTTTTCATGCAAAGTGACTTACTCTGCATGTACATACATACTTATATACATTTTCTTGGATACCAACAACACCAACACAAATAAGCTTAACAAATATCATGGCAATACACAAATTTATGACAATATTTATAGTTCATCTCAATGCGACAAAAGGTGCTTGAGACATTTGTATCTGAAGTGCTGGTGGTGGTGGTGGGGATGGTACTTACAAATCTTTTGATGTCAAAGGAATTCAAAAATTTCATATCAGGAAAATATGTTGTCACGAACAGATGGTAGACATAACAGAATGTAATCTGTCGGATAGGTAATAAGAATGTCACAAAAGAGTTATGAATTTATGGGAACAGATTTTTTATTAAAAATAAAAAAATATAGATAAATAAGTTAGAGGAGGTTGGAGGTTCCATAAATTTTTTGAAAACCACATCTTGGCACATTTCTTGAACGACAAATGAAAACACATTGAAAAAATATTTTTTAAAAAATCCACGCCTGTGTTTATACCTTGAAAAATGTTTTTAAACCATTTTTTAAACCACCATAAACCAACTACCATGAAACTCTTGCTTTCTGCGGATTTGTATTGCGAGCCAGGGCCCTATTTCGCGATAGTTGCACCCTCTTACCCGATTAGAGGTCAACAGCTCCTCTTCCTTACACTGACATATTTTCCGAATATTACTAAAATTCTGTACAGTCATTTTAATTACTTGTCCAGATTTCCTTGACCGTGGGTTGTGTTGTGATGTTATGCTTTCAATTGTAGCCCATAGATCAACTCGAAAAAACAAAAAAAAAGAAGTTTTCTGTCTACTTCATCCAAAATTATACCCTGATCATCACGGAAAATTATAGGCATTGTCCTCGACCATAACTGGAATCTCATAGAACATTTCAAAGCCATCAGAGTTATATTTTCGCCTTCTAGTGTGGTAACGGGTTGCTAAATAATATCTGAATACGTAAGAACCGTGTTTACGTGTAACTCCCATATCCGATTACATACGACAATATAATTGGTGTCCTCTTTGATATAATATCAACTTCTCGGGTCTATGTCTTTCAGGGCTAAATATATATGCCATAGAATACAAATTTTGTAATTTTTTCACCCAAAAGTCAGGGTCCATTTGATCCGCTAAATATTGACCAATCTTTATCAAAACAGGCGTGCTTATTCTGAAGCCCGATCCCGTTCTCCATGTAAAATTTTGCGATGTTCGGGCCATAATTGTAGCCTCTGGGGCGACCAGAAAAACGGACAAAAATTAAGTATTTGGTCCATTTCATCCCTTAAATATTAACCGATCATTACCAAAAATACTAGGGGTCTTCACTGGGCCGAACCCATCCTACATGCAAAATTTCGTGAAAATTGGTCCATAAATATGGTCTGTATCGTGTTTACAAATTATAATGGACGGACGGGCACACATGTCAAGATCGACTGAGCTAGTCGAGATATGAAGATCGGTATACTTAATGGTGGGTCTAGGACCAATATGTTTGGGCCATAATTGCGGCCTCTGGAGCATAATTTCAGCCTCTGCTTTTTCTTCGGCCCTATCCCCTTCTCCATGTAAAAATTCGCGATTTTTAGACCATAATTGCGGCCTCTGGAGCGACCAGAAAAAAAATGAAATATATGGTCCATATCATTCCCTAAATATTAACCGACCTTTACCAAAAACAATAGGGGTCTTCATTGCGCCGAACCCATCCTACATGCAAAATTTCATGAAGATTGGTCCATAAATGTGGTCTGTATCGTATTTACAAATTATAATGGACGGACGGACACACATGTCTAGATCGATTCAGCTAGTCGAGATATGACGACCAAAGATGGGTCTAGGATCAATATGTTTGGGCCACAATTGCGGCCTCTGGAACATAATTGCGGCCTCTGCTTTTTCTTTGGCCCGATCCCCTTCTCCATGTAAAAATTCGCGATTTTTGGGCCATAATTGCGGCCTTTGGAGCGACCAGAAAAAACGACAAAAATTAAGTATGTGCTCCATTCATCCCTTAAATATTATCCGATCTTTATCAAACACATTAGGGGTATCCATTGGGCCGAACCCATCCTACATGCAAAATTTCGTGAAGATTGGTCCATAAATGTGGTCTGTATCGTGTTTAGAAATTATAATGGACGGACGGGCACACATGTCTACATCGACTCAGCTAGTCGAGATGTGACGATCGGTATACTTAAAGGTGGGTCTAGGACCAATATTTCACGAAGTAACAATCTCTTGGGGGTGCCCAAAGCTATAATACCATGACAACATAGTTGTGTAGGGTATAAAAATCCACGTCTCGTTTAG